CATAAAGCAGAAGACTGATGTGTTCCCATCGTGGACCAGACCCATCTTCTAACTACACATGTGGAAAGTTTTCGACACATCTTGAGTGGCTGTGTTGACTGTTCAAAGACAGTAAGGCCAAAGGACAAAGGGTTTAACTCTGTCATTTTTTTCTGCTACATGAGACGTCTAAAGGACAACGTTTTGCCGTGACAACACTGCTGCACACACTCAACAACAACAGCACCCATGCTGCAGCAGCTGGTACACATTTAATTTGAATGCTTTGATGACACGTCTCCAAAGCATACCTCCATCATTTCTCAGACCAGTGCTGTTGGTTATCATTCATTGTTTTCTAAAGTGCTTTTAGAGTTTAAAAATGCACCTTTTTAATGGAAAGAGGAATAATGTAAGTGACTGTAGCATTCAGAGTTGTTCGTAGCCTCAGTGATGCTTCCATTTATACTGACTCAGAGTTAGTCAAGAGTTATGAATAATATCTAATATCGAGGAGCTCCAAAACAAAGTTCCTAATGTTTGAGAAAGTGATTTAAAAAGGAGTAAGACAAGTATGAGTTTGGCATGTTTATTAGAGACTGTCTAGTGTTCTAATACACTTGTTCTTAAAGTTTTAACTGGCATCGCCCCGCTAAGAAGCCCAAAGCACGTCTCACTCCATGACCATTTTAATCTAAAAAAAATCACAGCTGAGTTTTAATAAATACCACTCAACAGATACAAATCAACTTGTTTTTTCCTCATCATTCCCTTTGTTACCCACGTCCCACCTGCAGAGGCTCCATGTCCCACAGTTTGAGAATCATTGTGTTAAAAACATCCCAGCAGAAGCTATTTAAACTACTAAGTACAGCATTCTTCATTAAATAGGTTTTCAAAACTAAGTGGCACTTTTTCTTTCTGCATCTTCCACCTATGCACGCCACTTCAGTGCGCGGTCCTGAGTTGGACCTTCATGTGATAAGGGCTGGGAGTCATAGTGGCTCCAAAGACCGGAGTGAAGTCTGGTTCTCCTGCGTCCTCGGGCCAGATGAACTTAAACTTCCTCAGCAGAGTCACAATCATGAGGAAGAGCTCCATACGAGCCAGACCCTCCCCGAGACACACCCGAGGACCTGAGGCATTGAAAAACACCGCAAAATTATCAAAAACACATTGATTGAACTGGCCATGTCTGTGCTGTTACTCAGCGTGTTTATGCTCATGTACCTGCAGAGAAAGGCATGAAGGCCTCTGGTTTAACAAACTCTCCTTTGTCATCAAGGAAGTTTTCAGGGTTGAATTCATGAGGGAATTTCCACTGTCCCTCCTCGCTGAGCACTGAGGTCAGATTCTCGATGATCATTGTTCCCTGAGGACGAAATCA